CACGGAGTGAAGCCCGCTGACAGCCTACTCTATGGCAATTTACACACAGAAATAAACTCGGGCAAAATATTCTTGCTTATGTCTCATTTTCTCCACGAGATTTGGGTCTATGGACTTCAAACTTGTTGGACGTTGTAGCCTGACTAACTAGCTCTCCATACATGTCAAAAAAATCAGAAATTTTTACATAACAAGATACCTTCAAGACGAGATATAGCATGTAAACAAACCACGGAGTGAAGCCCGCTGACAGCCTACTCTATGGCAATTTACACACAGAAATAAACTCGGGCAAAATATTCTTGCTTATGTCTCATTTTCTCCACGAGTATTGGGTCTATGGACTTCAAACTTGTTGGACGTTGTAGCCTGACTAACTAGCTCTCCATACATGTCAAAAAAATCAGGAATTTTTAATAACAAGATACCTTCAAGACGAGATATAGCATGTAAACAAACCACGGAGTGAAGCCCGCTGACAGCCTACTCTATGGCAATTTACACACAGAAATAAACTCGGGCAAAATATTCTTGCTTATGTCTCATTTTCTCCACGAGTATTGGGTCTATGGACTTCAAACTTGTTGGACGTTGTAGCCTGACTAACTAGCTCTCCATACATGTCAAAAAATCAGGAATTTTTCATAACAAGATACCTTCAAGACGAGATATAGCATGTAAACAAACCACGGAGTGAAGCCCGCTGACAGCCTACTCTATGGCAATTTACACACAGAAATAAACTCGGGCAAAATATTCTTGCTTATGTCTCATTTTCTCCACGAGTATTTGGGTCTATGGACTTCAAACTTGTTGGACGTTGTAGCCTGACTAACTAGCTCTCCATACATGTCAAAAAAATCAGGAATTTTTCATAACAAGATACCTTCAAGACGAGATATAGCATGTAAACAAACCACGGAGTGAAGCCCGCTGACAGCCTACTCTATGGCAATTTACACACAGAAATAAACTCGGGCAAAATATTCTTGCTTATGTCTCATTTTCTCCACGAGTATTGGGTCTATGGACTTCAAACTTGTTGGACGTTGTAGCCTGACTAACTAGCTCTCCATACATGTCAAAAAAATCAGGAATTTTTCATAACAAGATACCTTCAAGACGAGATATAGCATGTAAACAAACCACGGAGTGAAGCCCGCTGACAGCCTACTCTATGGCAATTTACACACAGAAATAAACTCGGGCAAAATATTCTTGCTTATGTCTCATTTTCTCCACGAGTATTGGGTCTATGGACTTCAAACTTGTTGGACGTTGTAGCCTGACTAACTAGCTCTCCAAACATGTCAAAAAAATCAGGAATTTTTCATAACAAGATACCTTCAAGACGAGATATAGCATGTAAACAAACCACGGAGTGAAGCCCGCTGACAGCCTACTCTATGGCAATTTACACACAGAAATAAACTCGGGCAAAATATTCTTGCTTATGTCTCATTTTCTCCACGAGTATTTGGGTCTATGGACTTCAAACTTGTTGGACGTTGTAGCCTGACTAACTAGCTCTCCATACATGTCAAAAAAATCAGGAATTTTTCATAACAAGATACCTTCAAGACGAGATATAGCATGTAAACAAACCACGGAGTGAAGCCCGCTGACAGCCTACTCTATGGCAATTTACACACAGAAATAAACTCGGGCAAAATATTCTTGCTTATGTCTCATTTTCTCCACGAGATTGGGTCTATGGACTTCAAACTTGTTGGACGTTGTAGCCTGACTAACTAGCTCTCCATACATGTCAAAAAAATCAGGAATTTTTCATAACAAGATACCTTCAAGACGAGATATAGCATGTAAACAAACCACGGAGTGAAGCCCGCTGACAGCCTACTCTATGGCAATTTACACACAGAAATAAACTCGGGCAAAATATTCTTGCTTATGTCTCATTTTCTCCACGAGTATTGGGTCTATGGACTTCAAACTTGTTGGACGTTGTAGCCTGACTAACTAGCTCTCCATACATGTCAAAAAAATCAGGAATTTTTCATAACAAGATACCTTCAAGACGAGATATAGTATGTAAACAAACCACGGAGTGAAGCCCGCTGACAGCCTACTCTATGGCAATTTACACACAGAAATAAACTCGGGCAAAATATTCTTGCTTATGTCTCATTTTCTCCACGAGTATTGGGTCTATGGACTTCAAACTTGTTGGACGTTGTAGCCTGACTAACTAGCTCTCCATACATGTCAAAAAAATCAGGAATTTTTCATAACAAGATACCTCCAAGACGAGATATAGCATGTAAACAAACCACGGAGTGAAGCCCGCTGACAGCCTACTCTATGGCAATTTACACACAGAAATAAACTCGGGCAAAATATTCTTGCTTATGTCTCATTTTCTCCACGAGTATTTGGGTCTATGGACTTCAAACTTGTTGGACGTTGTAGCCTGACTAACTAGCTCTCCATACATGTCAAAAAAATCAGGAATTTTTCATAACAAGATACCTTCAAGACGAGATATAGCATGTAAACAAACCACGGAGTGAAGCCCGCTGACAGCCTACTCTATGGCAATTTCCACACAGAAATAAACTCGGGCAAAATATTCTTGCTTATGTCTCATTTTCTCCACGAGTATTGGGTCTATGGACTTCAAACTTGTTGGACGTTGTAGCCTGACTAACTAGCTCTCCAAACATGTCAAAAAAATCAGGAATTTTTCATAACAAGATACCTTCAAGACGAGATATAGCATGTAAACAAACCACGGAGTGAAGCCCGCTGACAGCCTACTCTATGGCAATTTACACACAGAAATAAACTCGGGCAAAATATTCTTGCTTATGTCTCATTTTCTCCACGAGTATTGGGTCTATGGACTTCAAACTTGTTGGACGTTGTAGCCTGACTAACTAGCTCTCCAAACATGTCAAAAAAATCAGGAATTTTTAATAACAAGATACCTTCAAGACGAGATATAGCATGTAAACAAACCACGGAGTGAAGCCCGCTGACAGCCTACTCTATGGCAATTTACACACAGAAATAAACTCGGGCAAAATATTCTTGCTTATGTCTCATTTTCTCCACGAGTATTGGGTCTATGGACTTCAAACTTGTTGGACGTTGTAGCCTGACTAACTAGCTCTCCATACATGTCAAAAAAATCAGAATTTTTAATAACAAGATACCTTCAAGACGAGATATAGCATGTAAACAAACCACGGAGTGAAGCCCGCTGACAGCCTACTCTATGGCAATTTACACACAGAAATAAACTCGGGCAAAATATTCTTGCTTATGTCTCATTTTCTCCACGAGTATTGGGTCTATGGACTTCAAACTTGTTGGACGTTGTAGCCTGACTAACTAGCTCTCCATACATGTCAAAAAATCAGGAATTTTTCATAACAAGATACCTTCAAGACGAGATATAGCATGTAAACAAACCACGGAGTGAAGCCCGCTGACAGCCTACTCTATGGCAATTTACACACAGAAATAAACTCGGGCAAAATATTCTTGCTTATGTCTCATTTTCTCCACGAGTATTGGGTCTATGGACTTCAAACTTGTTGGACGTTGTAGCCTGACTAACTAGCTCTCCATACATGTCAAAAAAATCAGGAATTTTTATAACAAGATACCTTCAAGACGAGATATAGCATGTAAACAAACCACGGAGTGAAGCCCGCTGACAGCCTACTCTATGGCAATTTACACACAGAAATAAACTCGGGCAAAATATTCTTGCTATGTCTCATTTTCTCCACGAGATTGGGTCTATGGACTTCAAACTTGTTGGACGTTGTAGCCTGACTAACTAGCTCTCCATACATGTCAAAAAAATCAGAAATTTTTCATAACAAGATACCTTCAAGACGAGATATAGCATGTAAAACAAACCACGGAGTGAAGCCCGCTGACAGCCTACTCTATGGCAATTTACACACAGAAATAAACTCGGGCAAAATATTCTTGCTTATGTCTCATTTTCTCCACGAGTATTGGGTCTATGGACTTCAAACTTGTTGGACGTTGTAGCCTGACTAACTAGCTCTCCATACATGTCAAAAAAATCAGGAATTTTTAATAACAAGATACCTTCAAGACGAGATATAGCATGTAAACAAACCACGGAGTGAAGCCCGCTGACAGCCTACTCTATGGCAATTTCCACACAGAAATAAACTCGGGCAAAATATTCTTGCTTATGTCTCATTTTCTCCACGAGTATTGGGTCTATGGACTTCAAACTTGTTGGACGTTGTAGCCTGACTAACTAGCTCTCCATACATGTCAAAAAAATCAGGAATTTTTCATAACAAGATACCTTCAAGACGAGATATAGCATGTAAACAAACAAAAACGGAGTGAAGCCCGCTGACAGCCTACATATGGCAATTTACACACAGAAATAAACTCGGGCAAATATTCTTGCCTTATGTCTCATTTTCTCCACGAGTATTGGGGTCTATGGACTTCAAACTT